GACGTCTGACACCTCAGCAGACTTGGTCTGTGGTTGAATCTTTGGAATGTTGTCAGAAGTCAGGTTGCACTTCAAGTGAAGGTCTGGTTTGCTGGGGATCTTTTTATACACACCTGGGATTATGTTGATTACAGTATTTGTCACAGGTGAACCTCAAATCTGTGATTGGTTTAATCATTAAAAGACATGACAAGACTTTTGTCCTTGCAAAAACAGGTGTTTATGGACTTTAACATGCTGTGAACATCAGGACACTTTTTGACTGTTTCATGTTGCACCCAGTTAACGTGAAAGTCCTTGGCATTAAATTGATCCATTTATTGTAACAATTGATTGATTAGAAATAAAGTTATATGCCTTTTTAAGTTACTATGTCCTTATGTGACAAGACTTTTGTCAATGACTGTATATGACATAAAAAGTAACTATGCATCAATGTTTGGTGAAAATATTGTGCATTTCTTCCATTTCCTACAGAGACTGTTTACATCTTTTCAATTAAAAAATGACCAAAATATGTTATTTATCGAGGGGTGCCCAAATTTTTTAATAAGACCATCTACCACTTCAAAACCTCGCCTAGTATTTGCAGCAGCTGTCCAATACACGCATCCATTTATTGTCTAGTTCAACTAGCACATCTTGCTTGCCTATTCGATACCTCATCATGTTATTGAGCTAATTGATTTAAATTTCCCCACCAGCTCAATTAGCAAACACATGGAACGGACTGAGGACAGCTTTGGGAATTGAAGCTGTCTGCTTCTAGCCATCCAGCAAGATATCAGAAAACTTTTTGGTGAACAGAAAAACACTGGTTATTTTTTTGCATTGTGTCATAGTTTGATATATTCCAAGGATAAACAGTTTTTTTTCTGACCAAATATACACTTACTACCCAGATAGACACCTTTAAACATTTCATTGACTTTTGCACAGTGCTGTGTACCTACACACATTAAGCATGAGTAAACTGTCTTATAGGTGCCTGTAAGCTAGATTTGCCTACAAATGCTCTGCAACACAGACGTGTCGCCGTGAGGAGCCTTACCGGCTGGCTGTCTTGGGTAAAGTATCCCTGGTCATGGCTCTGTCCTCCCTGCACTGCATAGAAGCAGGTCTGGTCCAGAATGATGCCACACCTCTGGCCCTCATGCACTTCCTGCACCAAGGCCTGTCCACAGTAGAGTGCCTGGATGGTGGCCTGACAGGGCAGGAACGCTGAGGAAAGGGTCAGCCAGGGTATACAGGCATTAACAGCTAGGCGTTACTACCCTCTACTAATAGCGATGGTATGTGTGCATGATGAGAACGTTCCTAAATATTCATACATACAGCTCTAGAAAAAAAATTGAGCCCACTAAAATTTTGAAAAAATTTGCATTTTTTTTCAAATCCTGGTTTAAACTTAGTTCTGCAGGTAGAAGGCTACACTGTGAGGCAGGCTGCTTCCAGGCTCAAAGTCTCCAAGACAGCAGTACACAAGAACATGGTGAAGCAGGACTGAAGTCCCACAAAGCAAAGAAGAAGCCCTTCATTAATGAGAAACAGAGAAGAACCAGGCTGCAGTTTGCAAAAAAATTTATATTTTACACAGACATAAGAACATAAGAACATAAGAACATAAGAAATTTACAAACGAGAGGAGGCCATTCGGCCCATCAAGCTCGTTTGGGGAGAACTTAGCTAATAGCTCAGAGTTGTTAAAATCTTATCTAGCTCTGATTTAAAGGAACCCATGGTTTTAGCTTCCACTACAATAGCAGGAAGACTATTCCATACTCTGACTACACGCTGTGTAAAGAAGTGCTTCCTCAAATTTGTTTTAAAATGTTCTCCCGCTAATTTCCACTTATGGCCACGAGTTCTAGTATTTAGACTAATATTGAAATAGTCATTTGGCTGAACGGCATCCAGACCCGTTAGAATCTTATAGACCTGAATCATATCCCCCCTTAGTCTCCTTTGCTCAAGGCTGAACAGATTCAGTTCCGCTAACCTCTCCTCGTAAGACATTCCTCTAAGACCAGGAATCATTCTCGTAGCTCTTCGTTGCACCTTTTCTAAGGCAGCAATGTCCTTCTTGAGGTATGGTGACCAAACCTGCACACAGTATTCTAGGTGGGGTCTTACCAAGGAATTATATAAGTGTAACATCACCTCCCTTGACTTAAACTCCACATACAAAAATTTGCTGTGGTCTTAATTTTTTCCTGAGCTGTACATCGTTCATAAGCACTGATCCACACCACAGTCATGGAGGCCTGCAGCAGGACTGCATGATATCAAAACATTTCAAATATTGAAGTATGGATGTTTTGCTATAAATATTACTATATTTATAAAGCAAAAAAGGAGTCAAAAATGTACTCTAAATAAATTATAGCTAACTTGTTATTATCTACCAATACAGTCTGTCAAATAAGTTGGTGTTGCCAGGAATCATTGCAACAAGTACAAAGCTGTGGTGACAAATCACTTGCTTTTTTCCAAAATCGCCTCTTTGGAAACCAAAATATTCCATGCAGTGGAAGCTGAATGTCTTTTTCTGACCAGTTCTTGTTCAATTTCTCCTCCACACTTGTTTTGTTAAATATCTCACAATTGCACCACGCATTTAGTCAGGCAGCATGGATGAGTGATTATAACTGGCTCGGAGAGCGCATGCAGAGCTGGGATGGTAAACTTTACACTGATTTTTAACATCTACTAGATAATCTTGAAAAGCAAGAATCATTAAAACTGCAAAGCTTTGCAATGCCATTTCCTATAACAAAGTAAAAAAAAATGTTTTCTAACTTACTGATGATTTGCTTTTGAAAACACTGCTGTACAATGTCTGGAAGGTATGATTAGATACTACCCAAACTGAAAAACAACTCTGCTGATTATCTCAATACTTGCGATGCGTCAATAGCATGTGCATAACATGTGACGCCGATGTTAACATCATACATTATGGAGGTTTAGCACACAGGACACACACACACACGCACATGCACACGCACACACAGTAAACAATACAATGCTATTCAGCAGAGGTCCAAAGCATGGCCCATATCCATGTAAGAGCTGAAATGATTGATTACCATACTTCCCATCCTGCCCCAGACTGTAGTGGTACTTTGGCGAGTCCTCTGTGAAGGGAACGCCCTTGTTCTGCAGTTCAGTGAGGGTGAGGACATCCAGCTCTGCGCAGCTCTGCATGTCAGACGCCTGGGCCTCGGTCTTCAACTGGTGGGAACAAAACGACAACCTCAGTCACCTCCGGTTCACTTAAAGTGGTTATAAAAGTTGTGGGGTTCAAATTCAGGATCCACATTCCTGAATGGGGGAGGGGGATGAAAATGTCATTGATGATAACCAATAAAAAGGCAGAGACCATGCTAATGCTAACTAACGCTATGGGATCTGAAGGACAGAAGTTGTTAACAAACAGCATGAAACTTTCTAGAAATGGAACTTTCTTTTATAGTAGCCTGTAGATCTTTAACCCTCTGGGGTTTAGGGGTAAGAAACACTTTCACTGACTGGGGCATGATCACACATTTCTTCAAATATCATAAACTTAATTCATGGCAAATAAATTATTTCTTATATATTTGTTTTGCCATTACACTCATCTTTATTTTAATATATATTGTAAATATGTCAGATTTTTGTTAAGTTTGAAATTTAAGTATCAAAGTATAGACATTGCAAAATGCAGTTTGGAACACTTGCAGAAACATTATAAAAGTATATAGTAAGCA